TTAGTTTGGATCGAATTTAAATGTCAATTTGTTTTAATCAATATTAAAATATCGTTTGATTTTCAGACCGATTAGTTTAGTTTGATTTGAAGCAGATTGGTTTATCCATATTGAATAGTTTTAGAACTTAGATACATGTATAATGACGTGGCATTTGCATATTGGCCTTTGGGTTGTTTAAGCAATGATTAAGATGGCATTATTGGTGGACTCTTGGGGAAGTTAAAGATATATGCCTTCGTCCTCACGCTTTGGCTTGGTCTAAACATGATTAACCATTCTTCTAGAATAGATTTGTAAAATTATAATTGGACCTCGCTAAATTATTTGGGAAATTTTATAGTATTAAACTTATGGCTCTAATGGAAATAGCTCAACAACTCTGCTTTGTTTTTTGCTAATACTTTTACATACGTTTTTTCTAACCTCCCATGCAAAGATTCAGTTCTTTTACCTTTGTTTTTAATCATCCATTCAATTGTTTTACTAAATGTAGATTTTGTGTGGATTTCCAAATCCATTAAAATACAAGATAATCCCCATTAAATGTAGTATTTTTTTGGCATATTTCACTAGATTTTAGATAATTTAAACTAGATATATACGAGTAATTAATATGTTCAATGTTTGCATTTTGATGCCTACTATATTATTTGAGAAATAGCATGCATGCGGATAAAGTTTATAATCTCTTTTATATATATGAAAAACATGTTTATAATCTCAAAGATAATTTTATATTTTTGGTCCAAACCCTACATACTAGGTAAGACAGATTTCCTCTGCATAAATCCAAATGAGTTTACTTATCGTGGAGGCAAATGACAGATATAAGCTTGAAGACGGTCATGGAACTTTGCGATCATCCAACTCTTAAGACTACTATACAAAGTTTGTAGAAGAAAAGAATCTCACACATAATATAGACCCTATGCGTTGGTCTATCTCATGAGGAATGCTATCAAGAAATAACAATTCGTATGCTTATATACATGCTCAAGAAACATGATAAAGCAATATCTTTTCACTAATACCACATTTGACAACTCTCTAAGATCCGGTTGCTTCTCTTACCACCAAGAATCTCCAACAAATTAAAACAGTATGAAATTCGTATATATTACATGATTTCTCTAGTTCCATATCAAAGCAAAAAACGTAGAAATGAGAAAACAGATTTCTTTCTATGCAAGGGCGGATCCAAAACTTATATTTACTGGGGGC